TTAAAAAACCTTTTTTTAGATATATTAGCGAATAAATAAAAAATTGGAGTTTCGAAAAAAAAAACTGAATATATCCCAGCAAACATGCCCACATGGTTCCCATATGGGGCCCACATGGGCCCCCCACCTCTTCCATATGGGCCCCACATGGGAATGGCAGTGGGTGACACGTGGGACCCATATGGGCCAGCCCACGTAGGCCCCATATGGGACCCACGCGGCGCCCACATGGGACCCATATGGGTAGCCCATCTGTAGCCCATGTCCCACGTGGGCCCATCTGGCCCATGTTCACCCCATATGGGACCCACATGGGATGCCTATCTCAAGCCCACATGCGTTTGGCCCATCTGGCCCATTTTTATCCCATATGGGGCCCATATGGGTAGCCCATCTGTAGCCCATGTCCCACGTGGGCCCATCTGGCCCATGTTCACCCCATATGGGACCCATGTGGGCATGTTTGCTGGGATGTGATAGTAACTATAGTTACTATCACAGTAACTATAGTTATAGACGGTATACCGTCTACTATATAGGTACATACAAAATTTCAGATCGATACCTCGTTTTTTGGCCAAGTTATAGCCAAAAACCGCTCAAAAATGATGACGCCAAATTTTCAAGCTCATTTTTGGCAATTCTAGACCTTGTAGAGCAAAACAAAGACCACCATTAGACTCCCCGTGACGAGCTGCATGGAATCGATACCCATTTTATGCAAAAATATCAACTTTAAAATTTGACCTAATTTGACCTGACCTTGACCTGACCTTCACCAAAACGTGACCTATGCTGGCCCCAAAGGCTGCCTAACCCACATAATCGCATTTGTCATGTAAAATGGACCATAAGACATGTATCACACGACACTTTCATATTGTGACCCCCGGTGACCTGACCTCGCTGTGACCTGACCTGGTATCAGTGACCTCAGATAGCAAAGTATGTGTTTGACGAACAATGTCCCATCGATGGTTTTCAATAAATTACCAATTTTCTCGATTTCACAGCACATTTCTTGAAATGCCTGTGAACGGTTAAAATCCGACCTTTGACCTGACCTGTGACGTCATTGGTTTGACCTAGGTCAATGAAATTTTGTCACAAGGTAGTTCCCGGATGGGGATATCGAACACCGCTTGAGTTTTGAAAATCGACCGATAAATTTCCGAGATCTTAGGAGGGGGGGGGGGGGGCGAAACGGCCTCTCCCCTACGGGTGGTAGGGTCCGCCGGTAGCCCTACGGGGCGCGGGTTATGACAATGAACAATTTTGTCATACTGAGGCTCTAAATGAATGCTTAGAGCAAAATGGATGCCAGATTCGTGATCAGCGGCTACGAATCCATCATATACAACCTTTGGTGTGTCAAGGTCAACCAAAGGTCATTCGAGGTCGCATGAGGTCAACATAAAACTTGACCTTTAACCCTCGCCCATGTAGGGGGGGGGGTTGGTGCAACCCCCCCCCCCTGAGGTTTTTCGGAAATAGTGCAAAAACGGCGGCGCGCAGCGCCGCCAAATTTTGGGTACCTTATGGGGCAAACCTTGCGCATCTTTTGGCAAAAAAAATTTGACCGGGTCATGTCAGGTCACGGAGTTATGACGTCACAAAGGGAACAGCCTCCGGCCGGATTTTCACAAACTGAGTGCCAACGCCCGAGGTTTCCTGCCGGTGGTACGGACATCGGTTGATGGATCGTGATGAAACTTCCCATGCATGTTGGGGCAAGTATTGGCTATCATATGGTATAAGAAACTTGACCGGGTCAGGTCAGGTCACGGAGCTATGACGTCACAAGAGGAACAGCGTCCGGTACTATTTTTGAAAAGCGCCCGAACCACTATTTTGCTAATTCTTGTCACCTCAATGGGAATATGCAGCAATATTAGCTTCTATAGGGAGCAAATGGACCTCCCAAATCCAAAAATACAATCAGATTTCAAAAATTTAAATTTTGATTTTTCGAATTTCTGCCGCCGACTGTGACCTTGCCGACTTCCGGCGCTCCCAACGCGCCATTTTTAGAGCTAGGGAAACGAAATACATACCAAACGATAGAGAATTGATCAAGGAACACGATAGTGAAGGTTTCAAGTCGATATCTTCCACCGTTTTGCCGCAATCGCCGCGGAAAGTTGAAAAAGTCTATTTTTTCCGAAAATTTGACCTTTGACCGGTCAAAAGTAGGTCAAATGTTGACCTAGGACAAAAAAATATACCACCAATCGCGAGATCTCGGCGAGAGCAATCCGTTGGTCTTTTCCGCTAAGCTCTACGACGCTCCGTTTTCAAACGCCAAGGGGGGGGGGGGTCGCACCAACCCCCCCCCCTGCATGGGCGAAGGTGGCAGATCGCCGTTTACGGGCGAGGGTTAACGGACAAAATATATACCAGCCAACGCAGCTTGACAAGACGAATGCAACAAGCTAAAACCTCACCTTAGTGTCTTTGACCTCGGACTTCTGACCGCGGATAACCAAAACTATTTTTTTCCTAGGTCAAACGCTACATATCCGTGCTTGCAATCTTCTCTCTCGCTCTCTCTCGCTCTCTCTCTCTCTCTCTCTCTCTCTCTCTCTCTCTCTCTCTCTCTCTCTCTCTCTCTCTCTCTCTCTCTCTCTCTCTCTCTCTCTCTCTCTCTCTCTCTCTCTCTCTCTCTCTCTTTAAAACTAGATTTTTGACAGCTATTTGAAGCTCACGTCTGTGACACCGAAGTTTGCCGTGCAAGGTTCCAGCAAAATCAACCCTGTGACGTCATCTGGTGGATAAGTCCAATTTTTTGACTTCAGAAGATGTCCAAGTAATGTGGAAAAAGACAGTGGAAGTTTCATTTTCCTATCCCTAAGCGTTCGGGAGTGATCGCCAATATTCGCCAGCGGTAGGGCGAAAAAAAACTCCCCCTCCCCGGGCCCGCGAGGACATTTCCAAGTGTTGTGTGCCTGGGGAAACACAAACATTGATTTTTAAGCTTTCTTTCTGATTTTTAAATCCTTTTGCCCTGCCCTTGACCTGATCTATGCTTTATTGGACGACTCTTGCATGACCCGGGCATTCGTGTAGCACTTCAATTATTTATGTATTCTGACTGAGCCTATGACCCAGTCTGCAAAACGTGGCAGGGTTCGACGAGATCTCGTCGGGGCAGACACAGTGGGGCAGGGGCAGAAATCGGGGCAGCTTTTGAGAAGTTGGGGCACAGTTCGGCGATTCCGGGGCAGACCGTTTGCAGTCGGGGTGGACCGGGGCGGGGCACACGGTACCGGGAGAAAATAATAAAGAAGCGGAGTATTGTTGAAACGCGCGAGAAAAAGTGGGCTGCGCCACAATCGTCGCTAAAGCGCAGAAACTGTCATTTAAAACTGCTGCCATATTCAAACTTCCCTTCATCAGGGCTATGAATGTTTTACGCGCCGTGTTTCGTATTAGCAACCAAGGAAAGGTGCTCCCGGAGCTAACTCCTTTCTAGCCTAACCAAATCGAATCAAATCAAATCAAACCAAACCATACCTAGCCTAATCGAACGCTCATAAATGTGCCGTATAACCCTCACATAGTTGCCGTCCGGCCAAATGATGCCGCGAACACGCGACCGGCGGCCTACAGATTACGAGACTAGCACACTCGGCTCGGCACACTTGAAACCAAGCCATTAAGCTAGCTGATCACCGTCGAGACTCGAGACAAGGTGTAATTTCAGTTTTTCAATTGTGCATTGCGGGCTGGGGCATTGTCCCGATCTTTTGTTGCAAAAACAAAATGCGCCCCTCGCTCCAGATTGATTCGCTGTTGCCATGGCAACATGAGGCAGTTTTGCACCCTAACTGCCCCCGTGTTCGATGTCTCTCGGACGACGAAGATTCTACGTCGTCCGGCCAATCCCGTTCAAGGTCAGCGGGGGCTCAGCTGCGGTTATGGAACGTGATTGGTCGGACGACGTAGAATCTACGTCGTCCGAGAGACATCGAACGTGGGGTTTATCATCATTTTATTTTAACCGGAGCACTAGCTGCTTTATATATAACCTTGATCAATGAGCAGATCCTTTCGTAAAAAAAAATTGTTTAGAGTTTCAACCGCGACCGACTTCAGCATTTGCACGGGTAATGTATTAATATGTGTGGTTTTTATGCCATATATAGGTAGTTCATTTAGGGCATAATCTAACCTGCCCCGAGTAGATGCCCCATTTGGGGCAGAAATTGGGCTGCCCGGAAGTCAACTGCCCCATTTGGGGCAGGATTCCGGCTGCCCCAAACACCTCGTCGAGCTGGCTGCCACGTTTTGCAGACTGGCCTATGACGAGCGATGCCCACTAAGTTCAGACTACTGAAAGCCCGGTGTCGGGGTGTTTGACCTGACTTTGACCCAGTCCGTGGTCTTAGAATTATTTTGCGTTGATGCTCACCAGCAGCGTGACGTACCGTTTTTCGCCATCTCGCCTATCTCGCTGGGACTATTAGTATACAGTACACACTCCATACGGAAAGCGTCAGGAGTTGACCCTGCATCCTTCCACTCAGGCCGAGTCATAACTCGAGGTAAAAGCTGTACGGATACCCAGCAAACATGCCCACATGGGTCCCATATGGGGTGAACATGGGCCAGATGGGCCCACGTGGGACATGGGCTACAGATGGGCTACCCATATGGGCCCCATATGGGATAAAAATGGGCCAGATGGGCCAAACGCATGCATGGGCTGGAGATGGGCATCCCATGTGGGTCCCATATGGGGTGAACATGGGCCAGATGGGCCCACGTGGGACATGGGCTACAGATGGGCTACCCATATGGGTCCCATGTGGGCGCCGCGTGGGTCCCATATGGGGCCTACGTGGGCTGACCCATATGGGTCCCACGTGTCACCCACTGCCATTCCCATGTGGGACCCATATGGAAGAGGTGGGGGGCCCATGTGGGCCCCATATGGGAACCATGTGGGCATGTTTGCTGGGTATTTACTAACGAGTGATGGTTGATTTGATGAAAAGCTGTTCACATTCTGAAGATGTATTTGAAATACATGGTTCGATGACAGCGAGCACACTGACTTTCAGACAATCCTTTCCAATATCCCAATTCATAAAGTAGATTTAGTGTTGACATCAGTTCGTGGATTTAGAAGTCGCCGGCGCCGGCGGCAGCGGCGTAGGCGGCGTCCTGGGCAGCCTTGTTGGGGTCCTCGGGAGCCACCGGGATGGCGGCGCCCTCCATCACAACGCCCTCGGGGCCGGCCCGCCAGGTGATGGTGACCGGCACGTCGTTTCCGTCCTCGTCCTTGGCGACGAACGAGTAGGTGCCCTGGCTGACGATGCCGACCTCCTCTCCGATCTGCTCGGGCCGTCCGGACACGTCCTGGGAGCTCTCCTGGCCCTCACCGGCCGTCTCGTAGCCGTACTGGAAGGAGCCGTCGTCGTTCTGGACCATATCCATGCGGACGATGCCGGCGGCTCGGAGCTCCTCAGCGGGGTCGTAGGCCGGGTCCTGGGGCCGGGCGGCGGCCACGGCCAGCAGGGCGGCAATCACCAGCTGCAGGCAGATAGAAATGAATCAGAGATGGATACAGTTCGGACCACAGACCTGACAGACCTAGCCAGCTGTGGACAATTGCACACAAGGGGCAGCTCACACATGACAGCAGCGACTAAATTTCGCGATGGGGTGCAATTCGACTTGGACTGCGATTTGGCTGTGCGGAGCTCATGAGCATTCTTTGAATTTCACACTTCAGGGTGTTCTAGCTGACTAAATTTTATGAACAAACCCGAGAAAAGCGTACAATTATTTTTAGGTATTTTATTTTTGACGGTTATTTCACGGAAAATGAATCAAAATAAAACAAATTCATTATTCGCGGTACATGAGTCAAATTAGGTATTCATGTTACCGGATACCTACATCTACATATAAACGCAAGTTCTCACTTTTCCGCATGTCACACCATCCCTATTGATTTTATGAAGATTATTTATCTGGCATTCTTTGAATGAAAAATAACCGCTTTTTGATTAATAGCAACCGGTCAAGTATTTATCAAGATCCGTTACCAATTGTATGATCTAACGTAGTTCAATCATATCCAATAACCTGTCACGATCGAAACCGATTGGCGGTAGCTGGCGCTTATGGCAATGGTTTATGGCAATGGGTGTAGGCTAGCAACTGTCCCGAACAACTAATAGTGAACAACCAACGGCTCGTACACTGCCAAACTTACCAGCTTCATGGCGATGGGTGCAGTCACAGGATGTCTGAGGCAGATCAACTGTGCCTGAGCCCCGCCGGACGCGCCTTTTATAACGCCGCCGTGCAGCCTATGGCGTCCTTCAAAATCGTAATCACCTCTCCGCAATCTCGCCAATGCCTGCAGTCACCGATGACCACCGTGGTAAGATGGCGGCCGACGACCGCGGCGGCCGGGACTGAGAGCACAGCATTTCTACTAGAGCGGATATCACAAATACGCCAGTTAGATTATACCACTAATACCACAGTATACATATGTATGTCTATCGTTAGTTAGATGAATGCGTTTTACATGACACTTCCGCAACACCTAAGCATATGTCTAATGTGGGTACAGCGTAAAACCGTAAGTCCCATTCTAAAGTCAGCTTACCACCAAAGAACTACTAGGCCTACACATGCATGTACAGTGAGCTAGTCAATCGTTCTCCCAATAAAATTATCCAACACGTTGTCCAACACCAGGCCGATATAGGAGCTCGAGGGAATATCAGTTTTAATTTTGATCGAATAGGAGAGCTGCTACTCTGGAGTGAAGATTAGGGACGACACCGCGAGGACATGAAAAGGGAGAGCGACGGTCGGAACGCCGGTGGGCCAAGTACCTAAGGCAAGGTCCAATCTTATAAAGGGTTTGCTATTCTATTGACATATAGGGCCTTGCTATTGACGCCATTGAGTAACATTTACAGCGATGCAGTGCTGGAAAATACATGCGTATTCTTAGTCAAAGAAACGATTCATGAGACTGTCAATATAAGAGAGGTGGGGAGAATTGGGACGCCGGAGAATAGAGACACGCCAATATCTAAAAAAATGGGCAGCATCCTTGTATGATTTTTGCCTTTACCTTTTGATTCTATGTGATGTGCAACGATGGGAAGCCTCAGCAGCCCTTTTATGGCCGTTGGTTGGGCTGTGCTGGCTGAACACCAAAAAACTTGTTTTTCGTGTGTTATTCTGAGTTGTCTGTGTATTCCATATGACAAACCATCTTTCTTTAAACATGTTACGATGTTAGCTTAACACCGTCTTTATGCGATTGCTAGTTTGCATGCAAACGCTCTGTAACTGATGAATGACAAAAAATGCGTGATTTGATACGGCGGTGTTGTGGGAGAATTGGGATACCAAATGGTGAAAATGGTAAAGGGGTGCAAAAAGATGCATTTTTACCTACATGTTTTGGGTTGGGTTGCACAGCTGCATCCCCTAACCACAAATACATCAAAGCGAAGACCAGAAAGCCTTACTCTTGTAAGAAACTGTGCATTTTATGGGAACATCGAGGTCACGAAACGAGGCAGATAGTGTGAAGATAAGTTTCCATGTATCAATTGATTGCCTAAACATAGAGAGACAAATAATTCGAGATAAACATATTGTCCCAATACCTCATTTTTTGTGTCCCAATTCAGCCTCGTGTCTATCCCTTTTCTGCTGCGTGTGTCCCTTTTCCCCTCAAAATGAGTGTTTTTGTTTTTCTCCACATATAACCACACTTCTATAAAGGCTCGGTTTTTATGATGGTATACTGCAGAGAAATGGCCTATCCTTTATTGGTGCTGCACAAAACAGCTTGGCTACCACACTTTTCAAATAATACCTAAGCAAATATGGCCTGAGAAATAAGTCCCCCGCCTCTCCCCTACATATGATGGACTGAAATGCGTGCAAAACATTTTGGATGTAATAGCCGTTTCCTGCACCGAACTTTAGCCCGTGCTGCCATATTCACTCCGACCACACCCTTTATAACATCCAGTCATCAGTGAGACTACCAAGACCCAGCGGCCAGATTCCATAATCTGTATGTATTTAGCTGGACACACTTACCAAAAACCGAACGAACATAAGACATTGATAAAAAGACATATCTGTACCAAATTCAGAGTATTTTATATACTATCGAGGCCTTAACCCTCGCATGTGTAGGGGGGGGGGGTCGGATGGACCCCCCCATGGTTTTTCGCGAATAACTCGCGTAAAAAGCGGCCGATCGCGACGAAACTTTCAGTACCCTCGCATTGATCAATTTCACACCTACCCTGAAAATTTCATGACCCTGACCCAAATGACCTTTGACCTGTGACCTCTTTTCCGAGACCATGTTTGGCCGGAATCGCGATTTCGCGTATGTCGGCTCGCACTAGCCGCGTGTTTGCAAGCTTTTCGTGGTTTCAAACGTTCAAACATGTGATTTGATGTTACTCCCGTGTGTGTCAAGGTCACCTGAAGGTCAGGTCAGGTCATTGACCTTTGGTGACCTCGGGTGACCTCGGGTCACTTTTTCGAGTTTTACATGTTTCTAGGCTAGTTTTTGGAGTTGAATTCGAATTTAGCAACCATTTGAACATTTACGAAGTAGTTTTGGTCAGAGCTGGGCGCGTTCCTCGATTTTCGGTAGTGCGTTAGCGTTCCTGCGTTCCTCCGGCCGCGGTTAGTGCGTTCCTGGAATAGCGTTCCTCATTTTTTTTTCGTTCGCTGCGTTAGCGTTCCTGCGTTCCTGCGTTCCTCCCTCAAAAATACCGCCGAACCACGCGGCGCGGGCCCAACCAAACACGGGGCGAATCGATCACAGAATACCGAGAATGGCGACGTGGGGCCGAAAAGCAGCTCGACATCTCTTTTCCGAATCGAATATCTGAAATACGTTTTACCAATATCATCCGTAGGGTTTACAACAAAAATACGACCTGCTTAAAAACAATAGTTAAGTTAAAAGATGTATCTTAGTAAAAGTTATCATATTTACTTCACACATTTAATGCCTGAAACTGAATCGAATAGTAAACATCACCTCTAAAATCTTTACACATTTAATGCCTGAAACCGAATCGAATAGTAAACATCAGCACTAAATCTAAGCAAGCCTTCCTCGATTCGACCGACAAGTGGCGCCTCTACCGGCAATCACACGTACTCGAGATTCAAACATTTGACACAGAGGTCATTGGCAGCAATATAATTTTTCGGGTGGTTCCGCAAGAACGCAGGAACGCTTCAAAATTTCGGGTGGTGCGTTCCTCTTACTTGCGTTCCTTTGAAAAACTTTGCGTTCCTGCGTTCTTGCGTTCCTAAAAAGGGCGGTGCGTACGTACGGAAGAACGCAGGAACGCACTAAAGGAACGCACTTGCCCAGCTCTGGTTTTGGTGACTTCGTAACATGTTACGAAGCTGTCAGAGGCGGTTGACACGTACTACGAATACCCGTCACGACGCCTAATGGTTGACCTGACCTGACCTGACCCGACCTGGTCTAAATGCTTCAAGACATCATCTGTGATCAAAACTAACACGATATTCGTGATCAGCACCCCGAAAAACCCCTTAGCAGCCACACTTTACGACTTTCTAACAGGTCCCGATTTTCCCGACTTTTGGGTCATTGACCTGACCTGGAAGGTCAACCAATGACCTAGGACCTTAAAATTGGGTATCATCGGCTTCTTCTCGTCACGGGCAACACGCTCGTTTTTTCCGCGAAGCTCTAGCTCGACCAGGGGCCAAACGGCAAGGGGGGGGGTCCAACCGACCCCCCCCCCCCTACACATTAGAAGCTGGCAAACGCCGCACACATGCGAGGGTTAACCCTCGCACGACCAGGCCATTTCTCATAACACGAACGACCAGGGGGGGGGGGGTTGTTACGACCCCCCCCCTGGCGTTTCGAAACGGAAGGGCGTAGAGCTTAGCGGAAAAAAACCAACGGATTGCTCTCAACGAGATCTCGCGATTGGTGGTATATTTTTTGGTCCTAGGTCAACATTTGACCTACTTATGACCCGTCAAAGGTCAAATTTTCCGAAAAAATCAAACTTTTTCAACTTTCCGCGGCGATTGCGGCAAAACGGTGGGAGATATCGACTTGAAACCTTCACTATCGTGTTCCTTGATCAATTCTCTATCGTTTGGTATGTATTTCGTTTCCCTAGCTCTAAAAATGGCGCGTTGGGAGCGCCGGAAGTCGGCAAGGTCACAGTCGGCGGCAGAAATTCGAAAAATCAAAATCTAAATTTTTGAAATCTGATTGTATTTTTGGATTTGGGAGGTCCATTTGCTCCCTATAGAAGCTAATATTGCTGCATATTCCCATTGAGGTGACAAGAATTAGCAAAATAGTGGTTCGGGCGCTTTTCAAAAATAGTACCGGACGCTGTTCCTCTTGTGACGTCATAGCTCCGTGACCTGACCTGACCCGGTCAATTTTCTTGCACCACACGATAGCCAATGCTTGCCCCAACATGCATGGGAAGTTTCATCATGATCCATCAAACAATGTGGGTATCACCGGCAGAAAACCTAGGGATTCGGCGCACACGTTTGGTAACTGTCGGCCGGAGGCTGTACCTCTTATGACGTCATTACTCCGTGACCTGACATGACCCGATCAATTTTTTTTCGGCAAAAGATGCGCAAAGGTTGCCCCAGAGGGTATTGAAAATTTCAGCCCGCTACGACAAGCCGTTTAGCGTGCACTTCGAAAAAACCTCAGGGGGGGGGGGGTTGATACAACCCCCCCCCCCCAGGCGTTCTAGGGTTAACCCTCGCCCGCACATGCCATTTTCCCATCCTAGAACGCACATGGGGGGGGGGGTTCCCACCCCCCCACGCCATTTCGTTCCTGTTGGAGATAGAGCTTAGCGGTAAAGACCAAAAAGATTATTTGGGAAGAGACGAATCCAATGATACCCAGTTTTACCTTCTCAGGTCAGTCATTGACCTTCCAGGTCAGGTCAAACTAAAAAATGTTGCTGTTTTGGGTCACCGTTTGATATCAAGTGCGCTGCTTATCATATACCGATGACGATGCCGTTTTCTGGTGCCAAGCCAGCTAGAACCTCTTTCTCACACTACCCGACCAGGTTTTTGCTGCTGAGGTCATTTCAGGTCAAGTTAGGTCAAGGTCAATTATATGTGTTTGTATGTCTGTGTGTGTGTCTGTGTGTATACTGATGTGTGCACCGATTGTTTATGTGTCCATATTACATGAAATCATGTCCATGATCTGAGAAGCTTTTACCAAAAATGCAGTCAAAAAACTTCACAAAAAGTAAATTCCGCTTGCCTAAAACGCAATTATCTTAGATGACCTAGGTTGACCTTGACCTTGACCTTGACATCTGTACATCGTCGAACAACATGTTCCATGATAGGTGGGAGGTAAGACTGGTAAAAAGGCCGAAATCAAGGTGTCAAAAGCTCACAAGGCCCATAGCCAACGCAAGATGTCGAGAATTGTTTGGTTACTAGCCTCATCGTTCGCGCACCATCTAGTTTGCTAGAAATTTGCCGAAAGGGTTTGGGGAGCACTTCATGAGCTCACGAGAGCCATTGTTGATTTGTGGTTATTTGGTGGTGTTGTTGGGTGGCCTTGTCACTTTTCACGACCTGACCTGTTTGCATTTTTGGACAATATTTGCAGCTAGAGCTATTTCCAGGCCTTACACACGGCAACACTTTTACCAGACCTTCTACTCGTATGTAGTGAAAGCATCATGAGGTCAGCTACTCTGACAAAAGCCAGTCGGTGAACGCTCGGGATCTCCTGCGCCTGCTGTAGCAAACGTCAAGCGCGTCTTTCAATTCGTTTTTGTCTGTCACTGTGCGAGTGAATGCGTGAATGCTCGCTACATCATCGGAGAATAAGCGTGGGATGTTTACCAGCCAATTCTGATGTCCCTATACCACGTTGATGTGTAGCATCATATTACAAAACGGGTTCTGAATGAAGAATTAACCCTTGCCCACTTATGTCATTTCCCATCCTAGAACGCACATGGGAGGGGGTTGCCGCCCCCGCGCCATCTCGTTCCTGCTGGAGAGGTTTGCGGCAATAACCAACAGATTATTTGGGAAGAGACGAATCCAACGGTACCCAATTTTACCTCATTAGTTCAATTATTGACCTTCCAGGTCAGGTCAAACTAAAAATGTCGCTGTTTGGGGCCACCGTTGGAATATCACGTGCGGTGCCCATCATATACCGATGGCGCTGCCGTTTGTGGTGCACCAAGCCAGCTAGAACAGCTCTTTGTCACAATATCCGACTAGATTTTTACTGGCTGTGGTCATTTCAGGTCAAGCTAGGTCAAGGTCAACGATATGTGTTTCTATGTCTGTGTGTGTCTGTGTGTATAGTGTATACTGATGTGTGCACCGATTGTTTATGTGTCCATATCACATGAGATCATGATCTGATAAGCTTTTTTTCAAAAATGCAGTCAAAAAACGTCACGAAAAGTGAAACATTAAGCAAGCCTAAGATGCAATGTTTTTAGATGACCTAGGTTGACCTTGACCCTGACCCTGACATCTGCACATCGTCGAAAAACATGTTCCATGATAGGTGGGAGGTAAGAACTAAGACTAACAAAAACATACCAAAATCATGGTGTCGAAAGCTCACACGACCCATAGTCAGCGCAAGATATTGAGTATTGGTCGTCATTTGGATCATGACATGACCTGAAAAACAGGATCATATCTCCGAAACCAAAAACCACTAGAACTTGACATTTTTAGTGGACGCTGAGAAAGTATAGAGAAGCAGCTATACGAAAACTCAAGCTTCTAGCTGATTTTTTTAACCCGCGCACCGACGGGGGGGGGGGGGGCGGATATCCTTAACCCTCGCCGGCACATGGTGGGGTTGATGCAACCCCCCCTAAGGTTTTTCGCGTACAACTCGCGTAAAAAGCGGCCGATCGCGACGAAACTTTCTGTATCCTCGCATTGATCAATTTTACACCTACCCTGAAAATTTCATGACCCTGACCCCAATGACCTTTGACCTGTGACCTCTTTTCTGTGACCATGTTTGGCCGAAATCGCGGTTCGGCGCGTGTCGGCTCGCATTAGCCGCGCGTTTGCAAGCTTTTCGTGGTTTCAAACGTTCAAACATGTGATTTAATGTTGCTCCCATGCATTAGGGTGGGTGTCAAGGTCACCTGAGGGTCAGGTCAGGTCATTGACCTTTGGTGACCTCGGGTGACCTCGGTTCACTTTTTCGAGTTTTACATGTTTCTAGGCTAGTTTTTGGAGCTGAATTCGAATTTAACAACCATTTGAACATTTACGAAGTAGTTTTGGTGCCTTCGTAACATGCTACGAGGCTGTCCGAGGCGGTTGACACGTATTACGAATACCCGTCACAACCCCTACCGGTTGACCTGACCTGACCTGACCCGACCTGGTCTAAATGCTTAAAGACATCATCTCTGATCAAAACTAACACGATATTCGTGATCAGCACCCCGGAAAACCACATAGCAGCCACACTTTACGACTTTCTAACAGCTCCCGATTTTCTCGGTTTTCGGGCCATTGACCTGACCTGGAAGGTCACCCGATGACCTAGGATCTTAAAATTGGGTATCATCGGCTTCCTCTCGTGACGGGCAACACGCTCGTTTTTTTCGCGAAGCTCTAGCTCGATCAGGGGCCAAACGCGAGGGGGGGTCGTACCAACCCCCCTTGTGCCGTCGAAGGACTCAAAATGGCCTGTGCCGGCGAGGGTTAACCCTCGCCCGCACATGCCATTTTCCCATCCTAGAACGCACATGGGAAGGGGGGGTTGCCAACCCTCCCCCGCGCCATTTCGTTCCTGTTGGAGATAGAGCTTAGCGATAGGGACCAAAAAGATTCTTTGGGAAAAGGCGAATCCAATGATACCCAGTTTTACCTTCTCCGGTCAGTCATTGACCTTCCAGGTCAGGTCAAACTAAAAAATGTTGCTGTTTTGGGTCACCGTTGGATATCAAGTGCGCTCCTTATCATATACCGATGACGATGCCGTTTTCTGGTGCCAAGCCAGCTAGAACCTCTTTGTCACACTACCCGACCAGGTTTTTGCTGCTGAGGTCATTTCAGGTCAAGTTAGGTGAAGGTCAATTATATGTGTTTGTATGTCTGTGTGTGTCTGTGTGTATACTGATGTGTGCACCGATTGTTTATGTGTCCATATTACATGAAATCATGATCTGAGAAGCTTTTACCAAAAATGCAGTCAAAAAACTTCACAAAAAGTGAATTCCGCTTGCCTAAAACGCAATTATCTTAGATGACCTAGGTTGACCTTGACCTTGACCTTGACATCTGTACATCGTCGAACAACATGTTCCATGATAGGTGGGAGGTATGACTGGCAAAAAAGGCCGAAATCAAGGTGTCAAAAGCTCACAAGGCCCATAGCCAGCGCAATATGCTGAGAATTGGCCATTTGGGTCATGACATGACCTGAAAAATAAGGTCATATCTCCGAAACCAAAAACACAGAAATTTAAAATTTTCAGTGGACATCAAGAAAGGATAGAAGAGCAGCTATACAAAAAATCAGCTTTCTAGCTCTAAAAATGTTGAGTTCAGAGCAGACAGACTACCTGGGGGGTGGCAACCACCCCCCCCCCCCATGTGCGGGCGAGGGTTAAAAATGTGTAGTTAGTGCAGATCAGAAACACTACCTGGCGGGGGGGGGGGGGGGGGAGGGGTGGCAACCACCTCTGTGTGCGGGCGAGGGTAGAGGTGTAGAGGCGTAGATGTGGGTATAGAGGTGCATTGCTGAGATGGGCTCAAAAGTACCCGTAATGCAGTAAGTACACTGGCTTGCTGTTGATGACATTGGGGCATCAAGTGGAGGGCACAGACTTGCTGTCATGGCTGACATATCCGGAAATTCACTGGTAGAAAATAGCATTTATTTGTTTCTAAGCACACCATGAATACACACATTAGTCACATTCGTTCCACAATATGGTCATCACTGAGCTGTCAATAGTTTAATATCTGTATGTTCATTGTCTAGACAAGCGCAGCAGCGGCGTAGGCGGCGTCCTGAGCAGCCTTGTTGGGGTCCTCGGGAGCCACTGGGATGGCGGCGCCCTCCATCACAACGCCCTCGGGGCCGGCCCGCCAGGTGATGGTGACCGGCACCTCGTTTCCGTTCTCGTCCCTGGCGACGAACGAGTAGGTGCCCTGGCTGACGATGCCGACCTCCTCTCCGATCTGCTCGGGCCGTCCAGACACGTCCTGGGAGCTCTCCTGGCCCTCGCCGGCCGTCTCGTAGCCGTACTGGAAGGAGCCGTCGTCGTTCTGGACCATATCCATGCGGACGATGCCGGCGGCTCGGAGCTCCTCAGCGGGGTCGTAGGCCGGGTCCTGGGGCCGGGCGGCGGCCACGGCCAGCAGGGCGGCAATCACCAGCTGCAGGCAAAGAAAACGGTTAGTCTCTAAGCTAGACCAATACATATTACACACTCATCATATGGTTGACAATCTTACGGTAACTTCAGTGATAAAGGATTTTTAATTTAAAAAGGTGCAATGCTGAAGCGCCCTGCCTCATTAGTTGAATTAGTGTATTCTTCATAACGAATATGCCTATGAAATATAATTGGGGAATACGGTATCGGTCAAACAATCGAAATGCTTACCAGCTTCATGTTGGCAGGTTGTTACTGTGTATGTGCTACACTTGAACTGTGTCTGGTCGCTGCACCGGCCGCCATTTATATGCCAGCTCTGCAGTGGCGTCCTTCACAAGCGTAATCCCCTTAGCAGGTAGCACGTATAATCCCGGGTAGGTATCACAGGATTCGAGGGAACGTGCACATTGCAAAGAATTCGCAGAGCGATCCATGTGCGGTGGACGAACGGAACGTCCGGTTATCTCCTGCCAGGACTTGTTTTAGATTTGGCTTTCATAGGACGACCAGACGAACGGCAAACTCCCTTGCGCGCCTGCCAAGAGGGCAAAGGTTTTGGGTGCGTATATGAAAGATTTAGGATTTAGTGGATGATATTTGTAGCCTACATCCAGCTTTACGAGAGGATAATAGCCGTTTTCACGACGGCCAGCTGGTACACATTTGGTGCACATCTGGTACAGATTAGGTGCAGATTTGGTCAAATCAGGTTCAGTGTATCTCTTAGCAGCTATCAGCTAGGGTTGCATTAATTGCTGATATGCCCATGCTTTGTCATATTATCAGAGAGCATCATCGATTAAAACACTGAAATAAATTCATAAAATGAAGATATTTGCTGTAAAAGAAATTAGGTGCAGATTTGGTCAAATCAGGTGCATTCGCCGGATGGCCCGTCGTGAAAACGGTTAATATCACGTACGTCGTGCATGATCATCTCCTGCATGATGGCGGAAGTATTTGAGGTTCCCCGTGAGCCCAAAAAGATGAAGCTGCTTTACATTGGGATGTTAACGAGCGAAATGTGTAAACCGTTTTCAGGACATTTGTCAATTTTCTGATAAATATTTGGTGCACATTTGCTGCTCATTTGGCGAAATTAGGTCTCATTGGTTTTTAGCATACCTAGCCTTTGTTTGGGTTTTTGTGTCACTGACCCGACATGGGGGTGAGGCCAGCCAATGATCTAAGACGTTACAATTGCGCTTCATCGCCATCCTCTCGGCACGGGAAGCACGCTCGTTTTCGACGAAACTCTGACTCGATCAGGGGCCGAACGGGGGGGGGGGGGGTAATCGGCCACCATACGTTAGTAGGTATAAAAAGCAAATAGGGCGAGGTTTGTTTTTGGTCTAAGTTTATTCTTACATTTGTATCACTTGAGTTTATTTTTGGTTGCAAAAAGTTACCTTTTTGATCGCCATCATGTGACGTTCCTCCTGTCCTTGTCTCTCTGACTAATCATCAGGCTATGACATTTTGCCATATTCTTAGGTATGCAGGGTAAATGAGCGTGATGAATATATTTCATGTAAAACCAACTTTCGGTGCAGTCACATTGTCATGTTATTGATGGATGAGCCGGCACGCCATTGTGTCCTCCCTAGGAGCTCTGCGGCGCCACGGGGATGGCGTCGCCGCGCGGCTGGAAGCCCTTCTCGTCGGCCACCCAGTCGATGGTGACCTGCTGACCCTCGGGCGTGCGGAACGTGTAGCTGCCCTGCATGACGATGCCGGCCTGGTCGCCGATCTGGCGCTGCTGGCCGGCGCTGTCCACCAGGATCGGGTCGCTGGTCTCGAAGTTGTACTGGAACGAGCCGTCCTCGTTCTGCTGGCTCTCGTAGCGCAGCAGTTCGGCACCGTCCCCCTGAGGCCGGGCCGCCGCCGCCACCAGCACAGCGAAAAATACCACCTGCGGGGGAAGAAAATGACTTCAGTGTTATCCTTTCTATAATCTACAAAATACGCTGTACGTTGGATAGTTTTCATTCATGGCTTTGAGATTTTGAGCTTCGCACTAGTTTTCTCCTTCAAAAAGTGAACGATATCGTCACTTGCACAACAAATCCAGTTACACATAGGTATCCGGCAAGAACTTCGACTGGGCGATCATGTAGCTTATTGAAAAGGAAACAATCAAGAAAGGTCCTTTTTACTCATATACGAGGAAAGCCTAGGGGAACCTCGTAGGGAAACCTAGACCAAATTTAGCCGAAAAATATGGCATGTTGCATCGGAAACCTACGCAACAAGGCAAATATGCCGCCGTGAAATTTGCTCAACTCGAGCACAGGTCAAGACAAAGTCCGGTCAAAGGCAAATGGTTAACTTACAGCATTTGTGGCTTCCAAGTACGGACAGCAAACAGCTGTTAGCGGAATTCATGCAGAACTTGTATGAATGCGTTGGTGGGTAGAAGGCACAATCCCAAGAAGGCACAATCCTACGATAAACGATTGCCCTGAACGTTTCTGATTCACGAGGCAGACAAACGGTTGAAGGCTTCGGATACTCACCAGCTTCATGACTGTGCTGCTGTATGTCCACGTATAGGCACACTGATCTCCATCCCTTCTCTGCCGGGCTTTTATATGTGTCACATGAGACTGCAGCGTAATCTTTCGACACATCGCTGATAGATAAATCTGCGAATAATACGATCACCCATTGACCAAGTTTGGGTCAGCCACTGGTTCTTGCTACAGGGGAGATTGACATACAGGCTATCGTTCCAGCCATAAATATCGGTTGGCTTCAGTTGATCGACATGACATTCAGCGACCGGCAGCGGGCGCAGAGCTCGGGACTCCGGCGAGCGCGACTCAATGGGACATGCAATGGGAACCATCCGGTGACGAAATGATGACCTGTTTGTGCCTCATCTGCATAGATCAGGATAGGATGTCCGATATGAGCCGCGTCCACCCAGGTTTACTGAGATGTTTTGCGTTGCATACAGTATTCACTTTTTGTTTACAACTGGTCCTCGTAAGGCGATGGCTCGATCGTAACTTGGGGGATCGTTTTTACGTCCCTCTAGCTCGACTCCCGGGCTTCGTAGCGTCAAGCGCCAAGCAATGCCTGCAATGTCGTAAGAAATTGTAAAGTACTTTTTGTAAGTACATCTAAATATCATTAGTTTTCATTGAAGGCTCAGGTCACCAGAGGTTATAGTGGTATAGCTGCAGCATGGCTGAAAGCCCTCAATAAGCAGCTGTTTATAAAATGGCTGTGTGTTCCTAGTCTACGCCCTCGATCAACGGTTTGACCAAGTAGGGATTATAATTGTCGGGAAGGACGTGTTTGTTGATTTTTTTAACGAATGTGACGACACAATGTTTATAAATACATATTACCTTTACCAGCGTTTTGTTCCTTTTGTCGAGATGCGTTGGATTACCTTTACTTAGACGTACAAAGGGCATCTGGAGAACTTTACCAAAGAACTGACATCATTTCTCTTGGCTTGTTCATATAACTGTTAAAACCAGTAAAACGCCTTTTGGGCGAAGGACGAGCGAGCGAGAGAGTGAGCCCTGCACGTGCAGAAGGGCGAAAGGGTACTTCCAACGGGCTTGTGCAAAGCACCCTTCTAACCGGTCGCTAGCGGTGTACCGAATTTGAACGCAATCGGCCCAGCCGTTCCTGAGATCTGGAAGCGGCATTCTGCACGTGCGCACGTGCAAACGGGGTCCAAAATGACTTTTGCACGGCACCCTACTAACCGGTCCCCAACCGTGTACCAAATTTGAGCGCAATCGGCCCAGCCGTTCTCGAGATCTGGAAACGCCCCCTGCACGTGCGCACGTGCAGTAGCACCCTAACCGCAACACATGGGAATGCATTGCCTGGTGGTTGCCTACCTGTGTGCCAAGTTTCAGCGAAATCGTCCCAGTAATTACCGAGTTACTGAAATGGGAACAAATTTGGCACCTCTTATTGTTGTATTTGGCACGTGCAGTGGGGGTCACTCACATAGATGAAGAGTATCCGACCTTTGGTAGAAGGGATGCAGCTACCCTACAAAAATTACCGCAAGTCAATCGCCCAAGCGGCTGCTGATATATGAGCCTCTCAAAATCACTACTTTTGCAAAACAGCTTGAACACCCTTGACTTTTCACGTGGCACGTGCCACGACGGTCACTGAGATGTATCAAAAGTAGTCAATTACGGGGTAGAAGGGATGGGACTACCCAACAAAAAAGACCGCAGGCCAATCGGTCCAGCGGTTGCTGAGATATAAGCCTCTCAAAAGCGTTACAGGCCGGGCCGGGCCGGGCCGCTCACATTGATATTTTTCCGTTATATTGAAAAGACTCACTTCGCTCGCTGCGCTCGCTCGCTCGTAATGACGCCTAATGTGGACTGTCCTCCTGGACTGAATTATGCATACTGCCAGCTAAACAAACGTTGAAGCGAATACACGTTTATTTGGACAAACAGATAAAACATTATTCACTGATCATATCACAAAGGTACAGATGACTGGGATGACACGTTACTGACACGGAGATGGACACGCAGAGTGACACACAGTGACACACGGGTAGGTCGTTGCCGGCGGCGGGGGACGTCTAGGCGGCGTTGGGGCTGACGGGCAGGTGGTCGCCCTCGGCGCGGAAGCCGTTCTCGTCGGCCGTCCAGGTGACCGTGTAGGTGACGCCGTCGTCGCCGACGAAGCTGTACGAGCCGCGCATCACGGTGCCGACCTCCTCGCCGATCTGTTTCGACTCGCCGCTGACCTCGGCCGCGGTGCCGTCGCTGGTCTCGTAGGCGTACTGGAACGAGCCGTCGTCGTTCTGGGTGTTGTCCATGCGGACGATGGCCACCTCGGGCTGGCTGTCCTGGGGACGGGCGGCGGCCACAGCCAGCAGGGCGGCGAACACGATCTGGAGGGCACGCGGGGGGACGTCAGAACACAGTCCGCATACACCTCTACGGCATTGTTTACCGGCTAAGAAGTAGACAGTGTAAAAACACTTTGTTTATTTTCAGCACAATTCTTTTTTATTCGGGAAGAAAACATATACCTAACTAATATAGCCTGAACTTGCAAGAATTGTTTTTTAATATGGACGATTGCATTAGGTACTGATTCTGGTTAGTCGCACCTTGCGTTAACCCGCGCGGGGCTGGGGTCTCCAGCCGAACGCGCGGGGCTGGGGGGGGGGGTAAATTTTACCCCCCCCCCTGTTATCTCCCGAACTAATGGTCCGATTTGGAAAATTCAAACGCCAATCGAAAGCTCTCATCACGAACTACTAAAAACATGTACTTAATTTAAAGTTTGAGGTCAAGGTCAAGGTCAGGTCAAGGGTACAAATTGCAAG